GCTCCTGATGAGATTTATCAGAAGTGTGATGTTTCTGAGTGAGCGCTGAAAGCCATCAGTACCTACAGAAACTCTGAACTGAGTTTAATTACACACAGACCGTAATCAGTCCTGATGAACTGGCTGCAGTGCAGTGAGGAAAAGTCACTGTGTTCTGTAAACGCGGCGCTGCTGCAGCTTCTCGGTCTGTTTGAACTTCTCAAATCTCACAATAAAATTTAGGACGTTTCACGAAAATATATAAGGCCACATTGTTTGAACATGCTTCGATAAAAGGAAGTCTTCATGTACAGGAATGTAACGATACAGCATATCATACAGTATCAGATCATATCATACATATCATATTGTACCACACTGTGCTGTATTGTGTCATAACGTATCATTTGGTATCATATTGCATAATAACTATTACAGTGCATTGTACTAAAATGTATTATCATATTGTATAGTATTGGACTGTATGATAACATATCACGAATCATCTTGTGTTCCAATGTAACGTATTGTATTGTAATGTATCATATTTGATAACAGTGTATTGTTTGATAGTATATAGCATATAATGTATCATACTGTATTACAGTGTACTGTACTGTAATGTATTATATTGTATTGAATTGAATCACAGCATGTGATACTGTATCACATCAGAAAATATCATGTAGTATTGTTTTATAAATGCATTACATTATACTGTATTAAATCTTAAATGACCCTTATTAGTCCCACAACTGGGAAATTTCACCTCCCCATTCTAACCCATCCATGCAGTGAAACACCCACATACACACTAGTGAACACACACACTAGGGGGCAGTGAGCACACTTGTCCGGAGCGGTGGGCAGCCCTATCCACGGCACCCAGGGAGCAGTTAGGGGATCTGTATAATATTATATCACAGCGTTTCATACTGTATCGGACTGAATCACAGTGTATTGTACTGTCTCATAGCTAGAACGCCAGCTTGTGGTTAGTGTTTTAGCTTGGTGCTAACACGTTAGCTGGTGGCTGGTGTGTTAGCTTGAAAAAAAAACATAGAAACCGTTAAAAGTCTCGGCTGGTTCCTGCTGGTGTCCAATAGTCTCTAATGGTATTGCGTGTTTTCCTGATGGGCTGGTATCACAGTGTAATGGTTTAACTGGTGTTCTGACCCTAGATGCATTTGATGGCTTCCTAATGTGAAACACTCACCATGTCATCACTGAGACCACATGGAGCTTAAGTTCTAATTTCTAACTTGGTGCTCTGACATTCCTGAAAAAAAAACATTAGAACCATTAGGATTAAAGGCCATTGCTTTCTAATGGGAACTGGCTTAATGGTTACCATTAAAGACCACTAGTTTAATGTAGGACACTTTAAGATCCCTTTAGGAAACCATCAAATGCATCTGGAATCATTGTTAGCTTGGTGCTAACATGTTCCTTGTGGCAGTGTGCTAGCTTGTGGCAGCGTGTTAGCTTGTGGCAGTGTGTTAGCTTGTGGCAGTGTGTTAGCTTGTGGCTAGAGCATCAGATCAGGACAATGTAAAGCAGATTCTAATATTGTACCTTTCAAATGTTAAATTCTCTAATAAACTCAAAATGGAACAATAACACACAAACATGAGCCGTTATTTTTCCTGTATGGAAATAAACGCTGAATATAGACAGCGTCGCACCACAACAATCAAATGATCACACTGTTTCTGTTTTAACACTATATTACACTGAAACCTTTATAAACACTATATAAACTATATATAACACAATTAACTTTTAATATGCGTGAATGTGGATTTTGTTTTCTACAGCGTTGCACCACAACAATCAAATGATGAATTTTGTGAATCGTTACTCTCCTAACAAACGTCCTGATCTGCCAAGAAATCAGCCAAACATGAAGATCTGTTAAAATCAAAATCATTCTCCTCTCCGCCGACAGCACAGAGCTAACGGCTAATGGCTAACATATGGCGTAACGTACCTGAGTATAGACAGTAAAGTCTTCACTAACAGCCTCAGATCTTCAGCCGGCTCTAATTAAATTACACTCAAACACACGGGTCAGACCAGGGTCTCCTCCCCCCAACACACACACCCCTCCCACAGGAACACCCGAGACTCTCTGAGGAAGTGTTTACAGGTTGTTACAGGTAATGAGAGTTAATGAGCACCGCACCACCACAGCTCAAGGACACGCCCCCTCCCTTAGGTGAGCACCTTATTCAATTCACCTGTGTGATGTCCCAAAGGGGAGAACAAGCAAAAGACACAACTGAGGATCCGACTCTCTCTCTGTCTTTGTTCTCTCGCCCCCTCTCTCTCTCTCGCTCTCCTTCTCTCTCTCTCTCTCTCTCTCTCTCTCTCTCTCTCAGTGATGGTGAGTGCAGTGGTGATGGTGAGTGCAGTGGTGATGGTAATGGTGAGTGCAGTGGTGATGGTGAGTGTAGTGGTGATGGTGATGGTGAGTGTAGTGGTGATGTTGAGTGTAGTGGTGATGGTGAGTGTAGTGGTGATGGTAATGGTGAGTGCAGTGGTGATGGTGAGTGTAGTGGTGATGTTGAGTGTAGTGGTGATGGTAATGTTGAGTGTAGTGGTGATGGTGAGTGTAGTGGTGATTGTGATGTTGAGTGTAGTGGTGATGGTGAGTGTAGTGGTGATGTTGAGTGTAGTGGTTATGGTGAGTGTAGTGGTGATGGTGATGGTGAGTGTAGTGGTGATGGTGAATACCGTAGTGAACTCGAAGTCCTTCTGATTGGCTAAATTGAGGATGTACTGGATCCTGAACTGGTTTTCTGGACAGGCTACCTGGACCGGAGGAGTCAAAGTGCTCATCGCCGTCACTATAGTCTGCAAAGGAACAGAGAGCTACATAAACACTGCTTACATTCAGATTAATGTTTAAATTCATATTTATATTTATATTCATATGTATATTTATATTTGTGTAGAGCTGAATCAGGATGTTGACACTCACCTCTATAGCTTCTTTAATGTTATTCTTAATGTCCTGAATTTTCTGCTTTTTCTCTCTGTGGAACAAAAACACCATCAGCTCACAGTATTTACTGAACCTCAGAGAGAGACAGAGAGAGACAGAGAGAGAGAGAGAGAGAGAGAGAGAGAGAGACAGGGAGAACAGAGAGAGAAAGAGACACTCTGAACTGTGTCTTGTTTCTATGACTATTCAGCTGAGTTCCTGAAAAACAGCAGAACTGAGCGGTTCTGTGTTTTGAGATATTTAATCATATTGTTTCTATTTTAACACTATATTACACTGAAACCTTTATAAACACTATAGACACTATATATAACACAATTACCTTTTAATACGCCTGAATGTGGATTTTTTATTCTACTTATTATTATTAAATATTCATACGAAGTAAAGATCAGATTAAACCACCAAAATAAACACCTTTCTGTTTAAATCTCAGATCGTTTGAACTGTTCTAATGTTCTAACGTTTGAACTCAATACTGAGTTACCATTCAGCATCACTGACTGTAAAATTAAAAGTTTATATTTCAAAAAAGAAAATTCATAATCACGTCACTCACTGTGTCACACACAGACAGTGTTAAAGGGAGTGGCGATTATTCAGCTGTTAAAATAATACATTTCAATCAAACTAACGAAATATGACAATAATACAAAATAAAATAATAAACAATAATATTCAATAACAAGCACTTCAAAAACAATAAAAATTGCTGTTCAGAGATTTCAGAGATCAAACATAAAATCAGCTCATTTCTAATGAGAAACGAACTGAGCTGTAAAATATCATAATGAAGAGACAACAATGACTTTTAAATGTCATACAGCAAAAATTACACACAGCACAAACAGCATCTCTACAAACTGCTGAACTGAAGAATCAGGAGCTGCTTTGATTGAGAGTACAGTACTGAGAGCAGTATTGAGAGTACAGTGAGAGTGCAATCCTGAGAGTGGAGTACTGAGAGTACAGTACTGAGAATACAGTGACAGTGCAGTACTGAGAATACAGTACTGAGAGAGCAGTACTGAGAGTACAGTGAGAGTGCAATACTGAGAGTGCAATACTGAGAGTACAGTACTGAGAGAACAGTACTGAGAGAAGAGTGTGCTTGTCTTCTAATTGAATATTGTCTTTCTGCTGGTTAAGGTAGGCTCTGAGTTGAGACTTTCTCTAGCTTAGACTTTGTTAGTTACAAGGCTGTCTTGTAGAACCTAGTGCTTAACTGTAATTACTAGTTTCAGATGTAGTTTCGGGTTAGCCAAAGGTGTGAATTGTAGGGGCCGGGCTATCAGTCGGATAAATTTAAGAGGTATTCCTTTCCCATCCATCATCAACAGAGACGCGACTGCTTAACTTTGGCTAAGTATCACTAGTATTCTTCACTACCTCTTTTTGTCCTGATTACTCTAGTGTTGTGTCCATCATGTGCTTTACAATCCCTGTTTACTCTTCCCACAGATCACGTAGAACCATCCATCGTCACAGGACCCGTAATTCCATTAACCTCACCTATCCCCCACGGTCGTCAGTATCTCAGACCAGGGTGGCAGGTGGGCTTTGGAATTGCCAATCCGCTGTGCAGAAGGCAGACTTCATTTCAGCCCTCGCATCCTTCCACTCACTGCACTTCCTGGCATTGATGGAGACCTGGATCACTCCCATGAATTCAGCGACTCCAGCAGCCCTGTCCTCTGCCTTTCACTTCTCCCATTCTCCGAGACAGTCTGGCAGGGGTGGTGGCACAGGTTTGCTTTTATCCAGAAAGTGGCGTTTCACTCCACTTGCTTTTTCTCATCTTTCAATTTCCTCCTTTGAGTACCATGCTATCACTGTATCTTTCCCCACTAAACTTCACATCATTGTCCTTTATTGTCCTCCTTCTCCTCTAGGCTACTTCATTGATGAGTTAGACACTCTTCTGAGTCTCTTCCCCATTGATGGAACCCCGCTTATACTTCTGGGTTAATTCAACCTGCCATCGGACAAGCTGCAGTCAACCTGCCTGTTACCACTGCTATCATCCTTCGACCTCACCCTCAACCAGACTCCTCCGACGCACAGAGCAGGCAACGCTTTGGGCCTGATATTCACCAGACCTACCTCCGCGCTGGATGTCACAGTAACTCCCCTTCACCGCTCTGATCACCACTTCCTAACTTTCTCACTCTTCCTACCTGCTGCTCCTGTCCATTCCACCCCTTCACGCTCCTCCTCTCGACGCAACCTGCACTCCACTCCTTCCTCCTCTTTCGCTTCAACTATCCTGAACACTCTTCCCCATCCTGATTCATTTTCTTCTCTCTCACTGGACACAGCTACAGATGCTTTCCTTTCTTCACACTCATCTGCAATTAACTTTCTGTGTCCTCTCTCCTCCAGGCCAGCAAGCTCTTCCCCACCTGCCCCCTGGCTGACAGGTGTCCTGCGCAGCAACCGGCAAGAACTAAGGAAGGCTGAGAGAAGGTGGAGGAAATCCCAACTCGACTCGGATCTTCACTCCTACCAGTCTCTCCTTTCTAACGTCTCACTTGAAGTTACTGCTGCAAAGTCATCTTTCTAAAGAGGGAAACTGGAAGCATCAGCATCTGATCCACGCAAGCTTTTCAGCATTTTCTCCTCTCTCCTCAACCCTCCTCCTCCCCCTCCACCCTCTTCTCTCACTCCTGAGGATTTTGTCACCTTCTTTGAGGAGAAGGTTGATAGAATCCACCGATCTTTTCCCTCTGTCCCCACTCCTTTCACTAGACCTCCTTCTCTCGTTCTCAATCCCTTAAACTGTTTTTCTTCTCTTTCTACAGATGCTGTCCTTCAACTGATCAAATCCAGTAACCCAACCACCTGCCCGCTGGATCCCATTCCATCTGCATTGTTCCAGTCAATCTCCAAGGATCTACTGCCCTTCATCACTTTTCTCATTAACATGTCCTTGTCATCAGGTGAAGTTCCATCAACTTTGAAGACTGCAAGAGTGGTTCCCATCCTGAAGAAGCCCACGCTTGACAGCTCTGATATCAACAACTACAGACCGGTATCACTCCTTTCTTTCCTTTCAAAAATTCTTGAATGTGCAGTCTATAATCAACTGTCTCTCTTTCTCACACAGAACCAGCTCCAGGACCCCAACCAGTCTGGCACTCAACAGAAACTGCTCTTATAGCAGTGACCGAGAAGCTCCAGTCAGCAAGATCAGCCTTCTTCTTGACCTCTCGGCAGCTTTTGACACTGTCAATCACACAGTCCTTCTGGATGTCCTCACCAACCTTGGAATCACTGGCTCTGCGTGGAAGTGGTTCAAGTCCTATCTGGAAGATCGCTCATACCAGGTAACATTGAGAAGGTCCACATCCTCTCCATGTAGGCTCTCCACTGGTGTCCCACAAGGCTCGGTGCTAGGTCCTCTTCTCTTTTCTCTTTACACTAGCTCTCTTGGCAATGTAATATCATCTCATGGCTTCTCTTATCACTGTTATCCTGATGACACTCAACTAATGCTTTCTTTCTCACCCTCTGACACAGAAGTTTCCAGTCGGATCTCGGCATGTCTGTCTGACATCTCTTCATGGATGGCAGCTCACCACTTAAAGCTCAATCCTAGCAAGACTGAGCTACTATTCATCCCTGCAACTACAGGTCCTCATCATGATCTTGCCATCTCATTCGAGAACTCTCTGATTGTCCCATCTGTAGAGGCAAGAAGTCTTGGTGTGGTTCTGGATGGCCAGTTATCGTTCTCGACTCACACTGCGAACCTAACTTGGTCATGCAGATTTCTCCTGTACAATATCCGGAGGATCTGACCCTTTCTCACTCGAGAGGCCACCCAGGTTCTAGTGCAGTCTCTTGTCATCTCAAGGCTTTACTACTGCAACTCGCTCTTTGGTCTTCCAATGCAGGCCATCAGGCCTCTGCAACTCATCCAGAATGCAGCAGCATGGCTCGTCTTCAATCTCTGTACTGTCTGTGTACTCTCTCATTGTACTGAGAGTACAATGAGAGAGCAGTACTGAGAGTACAGTACTGAGAGTGCAGTACTGAGAGTACAGTGAGAGTGCAATACTGTGAGTACGGTACTGAGCGTACAGCACTGAGAGTACAGTACTAAGAGAGCAGTATTGAGAGTACAGTGAGAGTGCAATTCTGAGAGTGCAGTACTGAGAGTACAGTACTGAGAGAACAGTACGGAGAATGCAGTACAGAGAGTGCAGTACTGAGAGTACAATGAGAGCACAGTACTGAGAGTACAGTACTGAGACAGCAGTACTGAGAGCACAGTGAGAGTGCAATACTGAGAGTACAGTACTGAGACAGCAGTACTGCGACAGCAGTACTGAGCGTACAGTGAGAGTACAGTACTAAGAGAACAGTATTGAGAGTGCAGTACTGAGTGCCTTACTGAGAGTACAGTGAGAGTGCAGTACTGAGAGTGAAGTACTGAGAGTGCAGTACTGAGAGTACAGTAATGAGTGCAGTACTGAGAGTACAGTACTGAGAGTGCAGTACTGAGCGTCCAGCACTGTGAGTACAGTACTGAGAATACAGTGAGAGTACAGTACTGAGAGTGCAGTACTGAGTGTGTAGCACTGAGAGTACAGTACTGAGAGTACAGTACTCAGCTGAACCAGCATCGCGGTCTTATTAATACCGAGAGTTGTAATGGTTCTGAAAACGAGACTGAAACCGCAATATAAACAAACATCTATGTTCTCGTGCTGCAGCTCCAGAAGATGAAACTGTGACAACCCCCAAAACCCCAAACCTGCTGCAGCCTTCTGAGCTCTAAATATGTTACTGATGCAACAAAACTCATCAGAATGTAATAATTTAATGAGTTAACGGGGAAAACAGAGCAGATGGAAAAGCCAGTCTCTTGGGGTTAGCCGTTAGCCATTAGCCTAGCATGGAGACTAGCCAGTTCTCCATGTGCTCCGCCTACAGCGCTGCTTGCTCGCCCGGCTGCTTCAGGTGATGCCGCGGTATAGAGAGAGGCTCCGCAGCTTCTCAGATAAAACTGACAGAGTGAACAGCTGTAATATTTACTAAATTCCAGCAGCGCCTGATGCTTAGAGATTAAAGTGTAGTGTAGTAATGAGCGTAAAACTGAGTGTAGTAATGAATGTAACACAGTGTAGTATTGAGCGTAGTAAAAGGACACTGCTAGGCTAGTTAGCCCTAGAGGGCACTGCTAGGCTAGTTAGCCTTAGAGGACACCGCAAGGCTAGTTAGCCTTAGAGGGCACTGCTAGGCTAGTTAGCCTTAGAGGACACCGCTAGGCTAGTTAGCCTTAGAGGGCACTGCTAGGCTAGTTAGCCTAAGAGGGCACTGCCAGGCTAGTTAGCCCTAGAGGGCACCGCTAGGCAAGTTAGCCCTAGAGGACATTGCTAAGTTAGTTAGCCCTAGAGGGCACTGCTAGGCAAGTTAGCCCTAGAAGACAATGATAGCCAAGTTAGCCCTAAAGGGCACAGCTAGGTTAGTTGGCCCTAAAGAACACTGCTAGGCTAGTTAGCCTTAAAGGACACTGCTAGGCTAGTTAGCCCTAGAGGACATTGCTAAGTTAGTTAGAGGACACCGCTAGGCAAGTTAGCCCTAGAGGACAATGATAGCCTAGTTAGCCCTAAAGGGCACTGCCAGGTTAGTTAGCCTTAGAGAACACTGCTAGGCTGGTTAGCCCTAGAGGACACTGCTAGGCTGGTTAGCCCTAGAGGACACTGCTAGGCTGGTTAGCCTTAGAAGACACTACTAGGCTAGTTAGCCCTAGAGGACACTGCTAAGCTAGTTAGCCCTAGAGGACACTGTTAGGCTAGTTAGCCCTAGAGGACACTGTTACGCTAATAAGCCCTAGAGGGCAATGATAGCCTAGTTAGCCCTAGAGGGCACTGCTAGGCTAGTTAGCCTTAGAGGACACCGCTAGGCTAGTTAGCCTTAGAGGGCACTGCTAGGCTAGTTAGCCTTAGAGGACACCGCTAGGCTAGTTAGCCCTAGAGGGCACTGCTAGGCTAGTTAGCCTAAGAGGGCACTGCCAGGCTAGTTAGCCCTAGAGGGCACTGCTAGGCAAGTTAGCCCTAGAAGACAATGATAGCCAAGTTAGCCCTAAAGGGCACAGCTAGGTTAGTTGGCCCTAAAGAACACTGCTAGGCTAGTTAGCCTTAAAGGACACTGCTAGGCTAGTTAGCCCTAGAGGACATTGCTAAGTTAGTTAGAAGACACCGCTAGGCAAGTTAGCCCTAGAGGACAATGATAGCCTAGTTAGCCCTAAAGGGCACTGCCAGGTTAGTTAGCCCTAGAGAACACTGCTAGGCTGGTTAGCCCTAGAGGACACTGCTAGGCTGGTTAGCCTTAAAGGACACTGCTAGGCAAGTTAGCCCTCGAGGACAATGATAGCCTAGTTAGCCCTAGAGGGCACTGCTAGGCTAGTTAGCCTTAGATGACACCGCTAAGCTAGTTAGCCTTAGAGGGCACCGCTGGGCTAGTTAGCCTTAGAGGAAACTGCTAGGCTAGTTAGACTTAGAGGGCACTGCTAGGCTAGTTAGCCCTAAAAGACAATGATAGCCTAGTTAGCCTTAAAGGACACTGCTAGGCTAGTTAGCCTTAGAGAACACTGCTAGGCTAGGTAGCCCTAAAGGCACTACTAGGCTAGTTAGCCCTAGAGGGCACTGCTAGGCTAGTTAGCCTTAGAGGACCCCGCTAGGCTAGTTAGCCTTAGAGGACACCGCAAGGCTAGTTAGCCCTTGAGGACACCGCTAGGCTAGTTAGCCCTAGAGGGCACTGCTAGGCTAGTTAGCCTTAGAGGGCACTGCTAGGCTAGTTAGCCTTAGAGGGCACTGCTAGGCTAGTTAGCCTTAGAGGACACTGCTAGGCTAGTTAGCCTTAGAGGGCACTGCTAGGCTAGTTAGCCTTAGAGGACACTGCTCACGCTGAGTGGCTGTGTGTTCAGAAGACCTGCTGATCTAAACCAGTTGACCAATAGAGAGCGCAGGTGAATGCCTTCTTCTAAGCCACGCCCCCTGTTCAAAAGTGCCAAAAATCAGAAGTAAAAGAAAAAAATTCAGAAGCAAAAAATAATTTAGCAAAAAAACCACAACTGAGAAAAGAAACAAGTTGAAAAGATACCTTATCAGAACAAGAAAATGATCAGTAATATTTCTGGAAAATTAATTTAGATTTAAGTCATTCTTTGCAACATATTTTGGAAACTTTGATACTCAATATTTTGCTTGTTTGTGGATTTTATTATTTCATTTGAAGCTTTTGTCACAAAATTAACTCCATTCACTCCACGCACTGTTATCTAGAACAAATATAAACAATGACATTCTTATTGTGTTTATTTAGTATGTTTGTTTATGTAGCTACTTTCTGTGAAGTCAGCCTGTTCTTCTTCTCTTTAATGTTCCAAACTGTTGGTGATTTAATGAAACTCAGACATTTTTCAGTTTTTTCACCCCTAAAAAACCCAAAACAAAACAAAAACGAGGTCTGAACTGAACTGTGGGTTTGAAGAATCGTTATACCCCTTATTAATAACTGATATTTAATAATAACTTATATAGTCCAGACTAAAATTATAAACTAGACACCAAAGTATGAACGGACAGTTTATTCACAATTTAAAGTATTTTAGAACAATGAGACGTTACTACACGGTAAAACGTTACTACACGATAAATATTATTAAATAATAAACTGTAATTATGTTTCTATAGAACTTTGTTTAATCAGAGTGATTTGCTCTGCTTTTAGTAAATGATGAATAATAATGTTTATAGGTTATTGAAGTTCAGCTGGTAAATATGAACTGAATCTGCTAACAGGCTGAGGAGTGTAACAACCTCCCCACACTAACCCACCAGACACAGTCAAACAAAATGTTTGTGCACCCCTGTTGAAATGTCCATGTTGTTGATTTTGTAAATAAGTGTAAATAAGTTACAAACTACCTCACACTGTAATACACAATCACTGTCTATTCACTGAGTATGAAACTTAAACATAACGCTTATACACAGCTCGACAGATGTCACATTTCTGAAAATGTTCATATCATTCTGTAATATTCTGTAATATTCTGTACACAAAAGTGTTTATAAGTGTATTCAAACCTGCATTTCGCTGCAGTCAAGAGAAAACCTTGTATCTTCATTTTAGTCGTTTTTCAGTTTTGACATAATTTGAAAACATCTGTTACTCTTTACACTGTGTATGAATTTCATGATGAATAGACTAAAAGAAACGACCCAAAATGACATGGACAAAATTCTGGTTCCATTGACTTACATTAAAAGTAAACTATGATTTTCCTTCTCCTGTAAAGTTACCATTTTGGAGATACGAGGTTTTGTTCCAACAACACAGAGATGCGCAGATATTCATTTTTTTATTTTATAATAAACTCTTTCTCATTTATTATAAAACCAACTACAGCTCTGAAAATCCCTTAATTTCACAGATTCAAACTGAGACCTGCAGAGAATCAGTATCATATCACATCATTTTACACATTCATCTGCAGAAAAATGTGCTTCATATAATTAAAATCAGAGATTTTAAACTGCTGAACAGAAAATCTTAATAAACTGGTAAAATCATCTCCAGCAGTCGTTACACCGTTTTACTGTTTCACCATTTCACTGCGCTGATACAGCCAGAGTTAAACATTCAATAGATGTTTCATTTAAAAACACAGAAAAAATACAAAAACTGACACAACTTACTCTGCATTGAAGCCGTTGACATGCAAAATACGCATCTGTTTGACTATCGTACTTTTCCCTGATTCTCCAGCTCCTGAGAGAGAGAGAGAGACAGAGAGAGAGAGCGAGAGATACAGAGAGAGAGAGAGAGAGAGAGAATACAGAGGGGGGGGGTTAGAAGACTGTCGTGAAGGTGTGAAAATGAGCTCTGAGTGATCTGAGACTGAAACGTCTCTGATCAGCAATTCTGATCCAGATCAATCAGTCTTACATAATCACACCTGACTGAGCAGCGATCAATAACTCAGTCACCTGCAGACTTTGCAGCAGCACTGAATGAGAGTTATTACTGTAAGTATTACTGAATTAAACCAGCACAATGTAAACATTCTGGACAGTAATATTAATACAGTTCATTATTTCAGTGATCAGTAAAAAAAGAAGATGAAGATGATGATGAATATCAGAGTCTGAGCGTCCTGTTACAGTAAAGCTGTTCTGACCATGTTAGGAGGTCAGTGTAATTATTCCCGGCGTCTCTTGGTGAGTTTAGTCCCCTCTAAAAGCGCCACGTCAGTCATTTTTACCCACTGCGCCTCGTCAGTGAAGATTCCAGCACCTTTTAACTTCGTTACCGTCAATTAAACGAGCCATAAAAAACTCAGATCATATTAATCCCATGCGAATCGGCCTGATGGTAAAGCTCTAACAGACCCTGCGGAAAAGGAGTCTCTTCAGTTTGGAGACTCTTAAAGAGGCGCTTGCTCATGTTCTCTAAAGTCGGCTTCTTAGACAAATTCTCAGGTCCACCTTAAATAGTGCAGTTATTATTATAACATCTGAGGTGCCAGACTGTAACTGCTGCACCATTTAAGGTGGAACAAGAATATCTGAAGAAAAATCCAGTGAACAGGAAGCTGAATTCAGCCTCTTTCAGTCTAAAATCAGGCCAAAGTGTAACGTTACTGTCCGCCTCACCGGCTCGACTCCGAACTCGGAAACATCACAGAGAAAGTCTGACCTAATGTGGTGACGTTGACCGCTTGCTGTGAATTCAGGCTAACGGTGATGCTAATGATGCATTTAGACAGAAAGATAAACTTTAGTAAACAAAAAATATCAGCTAAATTATGTGTTTTAACATCTTATCTACTCTTTTCTGGACTGAAGTTGAGGAATAAATCGAGTATCACTCATAAACATCACAGACGTGCTGATAAACTGGCGGTCCCAACCCCCCCCCCGGAGGACTGACCCCCATCTGAACAGGACTGTACAATCACTGATTATCAAACTGAAACTCAGTCTGAATCACAGCTGAACTAAAACTCAATTCAAACAGTAATAACTGAAATATAAATGCTGTAATAACTGCAGTGATTCTGTTTCTGAGTCAGACTGAAAACCAGCGCACAGAGAAAATCTACAGTCTCACAAACTTCAGTCATAGAAGATCTGAAAGTCACTCAGTAAACAGATGCACAGATCTGAGGACTGTGCTCTGATTCTGATGTTATTAATGCTCATATCTGCTGCTGATGACACACAAATATCTATGAAATGCATAAATCAGGATTAAATCCTGGATTATCATCACAGAGGAATGTCGTTTATTACTGTAGGGTTACAGACACAGTGAACTGAATACAGTCTGATCACTCTGATCTACTGAGTTCAATAAACACATCAGCCTGAAATATCAGACACATATAAACATCCAGCTGATACCGATAATCAATATTACTCCAATATTACAGTAAAATTATGATCATTTCTACTAGAGAAGAAAACAGACAAACAAGGAAGAGTTTAAGTGAATCTGTGGACGACAGTCACTGCAGTCAGAACACAGAACCGAACATTATTATTATTATTATTGTTGTTGTTTTTGTTGTTGTTACTGACCACACCCACTACTGATAGCTGAATAACCCAGAGTGCAACAGGGCACTGAACTATAAACTCAGCTCAGTTTAAGACACATGTAAATAATAATAATAATAATAATAATAATAATAATGTTTATAGGTTATTGAAGTTCAGCTGGTAAATATGAACTGAATCTGCTAACAGGCTGAGGAGTGTAACAACCTCCCCACACTAACCCACCAGACACAGTCAAACAAAATGTTTGTGCACCCCTGTTGAAATGTCCATGTTGTTGATTTTGTAAATAAGTGTAAATAAGTTACAAACTACCTCACACTGTAATACACAATCACTGTCTATTCACTGAATATGAAACTTAAACATAACGCTTATACACAGCTGGACAGATGTCACATTTCTGAAAATGTTCATATCATTCTGTAATATTCTGTAATATTCTGTACACAAAAGTGTTTATAAGTGTATTCAAACCTGCACTTCGCTGCAGTCAAGAGAAAACCTTGTATCTTCATTTTAGTCGTTTTTCAGTTTTGACATAATTTGAAAACATCTGTTACTCTTTACACTGTGTATGAATCTCATGATGAATAGACTAAAAGAAACGACCCAAAATGACATGGACAAAATTCTGGTTCCACTGACTTACATTAAAAGTAAACTATGATTTTCCTTCTCCTGTAAAGTTACCATTTTGGAGATACGAGGTTTTGTTCCAACAACACCGAGATGCGCAGGTATTCACAGTCCTCTGTAGCTCCTCCACTACAGCTCTGTATTACTCTTTATTCTATTTACTGTATTTTTATTTGTCTCTTAGTTTAATCCTTGTTGTCAGTCTGTGTTTGCCTGGTCTGTTCAGTGTGTTACTGTCATCAAATATACTCAGTGAAATATAGTCTGATTGTAAAACTTGGTCTGAGCAAAAGTTTATATTTTAAAACGATACTGCATTTTTAAAAATAACACCAAAAAACAAGAACTGAAGATAAAATGAACACTATAATAAATCTAGTAAACAGAGATGGAGCGATATGGCAAAAATCTTATATTTTGATAGTTTTAGACATTTTCACAATACATAATATGTCATTATTTATTTTCTCAGACGTTTGATCACATTACTGAACATCTTCATTTGTTTACTGAACTGCAGAGCTGCTTAGCTTAGCTTATCCTGATTAGACCACAGAGACTTCACTGCTTATATTTATAAAAATGATCAATACTGTAAATTTGTAGGATCTAATGATCTCATACAGACTGAAATAAATACTGTTATTAAATGTTTTAAAGCTAAAATCATATAAATATTAATCACTGTAGTTTAAAGGTTTGGAATCACCTGCTGTTTTAATAATCTGTATTATTTATATACAATAAAATAAAAATTCTAAATTATGGTTTCAATATAATAAACTATTTACTAAAAAGTATTTATGGATTTTTTTTTTCCTACGCTGAGACTCCTGAGTTCTGTATATTAATGTATCAGAGCTTCATCTTCTACAGCTCTGATCTTCATTTAATCAACATTTCTACACTTTTATTTACAGCTTCCTTCACAGAGTCCAGCTGATGATCTGACACTCTGACACTCAGATTAGAATCAGATTATATATCATATTTATCTGAAACCACATTAGTTTTATATTTAAAAACGCATACTTTTTTGAATGGGTTTGAATGGGTTAACTGGAGCTCAGTGTGTCTAACACTGAATAAAAATGATTTTTGATGATGTTGATTAAATTACTGGTGTTTTTATAAAAACGCAGAAAATTATAACGTTGTGAAAACGTCTGTAAATATCACGATGTTGTGTTTTTCACCGTATCGGCCTCCGCTGATCACGACTCGCCCTCTGGCAGGGCTGCACGATATGGACATGAAAACATGTTCGATAAATCCGTCCGAAATCATGACGACGACATGAGAAGTGATGAATTATTATTTAAACAGTGTCACTCTAAAAACCGCCAGCGTGAACAGAATCTGAGCTGAGGCTGAAGAGCTCTGAGAGTCGGGTTGAGAACTCAGATTAATATAAACACTTTTATTTTCAACAAAGGCTTCAAAACGAACAGAAATCTGTTTAATTCCTTTAGAAGCTCCTGATGGAGCTGCAGGTTTGTTGTGACAGTTAGTGTTACAGACGATTCAGTCTGAGTTTCACACACAGCGCGGACAGAACCACCATCACGTCTGCAGTTACACACACACATTTAGCAGGGCGGCTAGAGCAGAGTGAGTGTGTGTGTGTGTGTGTGTGTGTGTGTGTGTGTGTGTGTGTGTGCGTGTGTGCGTGTTTTGTGATTGGCTGTTTAGCTGAATGGTCATGCCATTCTCACTAGAGATGAAATAAAAACTGTAATATAATAATTATACTGACTAAAATGATCAGATTATCACTGCTGTCGGAACAAAACCTCGTACCTCCATTTTTGACGGTTTTAGTTTTTGATGTAATGTGAAAATACCTGTTGGCCTTTACGTTGTGTGTAAATTACATGATAAATAGACCAAAAGAAACAGCCCAGCATTACTGGAAAAAAATCTGGTTCCATTGACTTACATTAAAAGTAAAGTTTGTTTTTTTTTCGACAGCAGCGAAATATAATATCAGTATCATCACTGTACTGTTAAAATGTGTTGAAAATGTTGATACACAAACTGAAATTATTTCACCAATTTTAATAATGAAAACCACAAATAAAATTAGCAGCACTTTTATCTGCATGAACATTTATATAAAAACATGGCCAATATCTTATGTAAACATATGAAAACCATATCAAATGTGCAGTAACATTAAAAGTGGCACCATGAGGCCACGGGAGGGTCAGACGTCTCAAATACGAAAGGCTCAAACTTTTTACAGATTCGGTTTAATAACACTGTTTACCCCCCTGATCAGCTGATTTAGACTCTCAAGATAATCTAATTATTATTTTAACGCTGGAAACATTTTCTGATCAGGACGTTTAGTTTATCAGACTATCCTGCAGTTTTAGTACGAGGCTGAAATCGGCTTCCTATCCACCAGATTCTCGTTGGAATTTTCCCGTTACACCTAAAATGGTGCAGTAGTTACATTCTGGCACCTGAGATGTTATAATAACTGCTGCACTATTTACGGTGGAACTGGACAATTAGATCCAGAAGCTGGCGAATAAGAAGTTTTGTAGTTTTAATGCTGGAACTATTTTGATTTAGGTGATCAGGATATCCTACCTGGAGTTTTAGTGAGTTACATATAAATATGCAACACAAAGCGCTTTTATTCCGGTGTACAACATATATATACAATTAATTCTGACTAACATTATAGACTTCATTTCTCCACAAATGCAGCGTCTACAGCAGTGACGGATTATTAATCACATTTACTACCTTCTGAAAGATGAATTGTTAAAGTAGCTTCATTCTTACTACTTTATATTTTGTCTTTTTATTGTATTTTTTATACTTTTATTGTTATAACAATATGAGTTTCCACGATAAACGCATCGTTAACGGCTGCAATGACAGAACGGATGAGATGACTTCACACGCAGCACCGAAGCTACATTATTAGATTGGATAACGCAGTGTTCGTAGTCCAGACCGCTTCCCTGCGCCGGCTGAGTCCACGTAAACTCTGTCCAGCGTCAACCAAAGTTAGGAGCAGCCTTTTAGATGCAGGCGCAGCACACGAGGTCATCTGATCCGTTCTGTCATCGCAGCCCTTAACGAAATGTTTATCGTGGAAACTCATATCGCTATAACAATAAAAATATGATTCATCACACAGACCTGCGGCCGTCTGGCACAGTACATACAGCCCTCGAGCCTGAAGCCTGAAAAAGTGTATGTTCTGCTCTTATAGACCAAAAAACAGAGCTGGAGCTTCATTTATAGAAAACAATCACAATTTAAATCACATCTACAGAAACTGGCCTGAAAAACCACAATTAGACATTTTCCCAAGACAAAATTAGTTATAATTATAAATTAGTAAAAATGAAACTACTTCAATAACAATAATAATAATAATAATTTAATAATCTTTCACAGGATAATAAATGTGATTAATGATCCATCACTGTTGTACATCAAGTCTATAATATTAGTCAGATTAACTGTATTACAGGCTGTTAAACTGTACACAGTAAAAGCTGAATGAAGATGAATCGCTGAGTTACTACAGTCTCCTAAACCTGAACAGCGACACAATTATTAGGATTTATTTTGTATTTTATGCATTATTACAGCTTCTGGTTAAACAGCGAGTCTGATGTTCCTCTTTATCTTCGTAATCAGTGTGAGGTTTTGAGTTTTGAGGATTCAGTCCGGCTCCAGTGACCAACACACCTTTACAGTCCTCTCTAACCCACAGCATTGGACACCACAGCATTTTACATTTAACACTACAGTCTGTGATTCTGGGAACATTCTTATTTTACTCTACATTACCTTCAACTACAGGCTTATTATTTAATTAATAAACTATTTTTCTAAATTTGCATAATTAAGTGGTTCAGATGTAATTAGAGTGGTTCAGAGTGGTTTGGTGTGAAACGCTCCGTTCTAGATAAACTTACCGAGTCAGAATTGTTCACAGTGGTGGTGATAGGAACCAGACGTCCAGAACAAGACATTATGGTCTAAAACGTCATTTTTACAATAGATGCATGGTGGAGGGATACATACAGGGCACTGTGAGCCAAAGAAAACGTATTGATTCAGATTTTGCACTATTTTCCACCAATTTTTCCAAAATTCCCCCATAATTCAGTGTGTGAGATGTAAGAATCAGAGAGATTCAGAGTGGTTTGGTGTGAAATGGTTCAGATGTCTTTACAGTGGTGGTGATAGGAACCAGGGGTCACCATGACTACAACACAAATACAGACATTTTATTTACTATCCAGAACCACCAGTGAACCTACACGAGTCTTCTGAGTTTATATGGAATGTTGATGATGGAAAATAGTGGAAAATCTGAAATAATACGTTTTCTTTGGGGACTATTTTGCCTCACAGCGCCCTGCATGTATCCCTCCACCATATATGGAGTTTAAGTTCTCTAAACTATCACAAAACAGTGTCTCAGTCATCAGGCAGTGAATTCATAACCATTTCATGTAGGAACTTTCTGTGAGGGAGCTTTTAGAGGGGGACGTCTGGTTCCTATCACCACCACTGTGAACAGTTCTGACTCAGTAAGTTTATCTAGAACAGAGCGTTTCACACCAAACCACTCTGAACCGCTCTGTTTACATCTTAACCAGTTATTTATTCTGAATTTCCCGTTTCGGTTCTGTTCAGCGTGTGTATCTGAGCGGCAAGGCTGTGGGGGCCCAGGCGGTCAGCGGAACGGCAGCAAGCACACACACACCTGAGTCACCTCGGACACACGGGCTGGTCTTCAGACGTACATCAGAACGTTAGCAGAACGTTCCCGGCTCATAGAACCTACCTAAAAGCAGCAGCCGGTGGGTGGCTCTGTAAATCTGTTTGTCTTTCTGGAGCTGCTTCTCGATCTTTTTGTTGGCCTCTCTCTGCGCCTTCTCCTCGTTCCGCTGGTCTTCAGTCTTACTGTTACCCAAACAACCCATCGTCCCACAAACGCCCAGCGGGAGCTCTGCTTTGGGAGGCTGGGGGGCCAGGGGCTGAGGGGAGAGGGGGGGTCAATGTAGTATCCAATTAGAGAGAGGTTCCTCGATCAGCTGGAGATCCAAACACCTGGACTGAGAACGGTGACATTTACACGTGCAGGTACACCCCCCCCTACACCCCCACCCCAACACCGGAGCAGATCCAGGAGGAAGATCAGAGCTGGAGATCAGGAGGAGCTCCGGGAGAGGAGGAGAAGAGGAGGTCTGGAGAAGCAAACAGAGGCCGGCCTTCACACACACACTCTCTCATACACACACACACACACACACACTCGGCCCAGTCCTCTCAGCACCACAACAACAAGATCGGTCCTCCGGTCCTGCTGCTCTTCATCCACAGCCTCCTCCTCCTCCTCCTCTTCACAGCTCACAGGAACGTGTTCGGTTCTCCGTTCCCACCGGAGGGCCCCCAGCCCAAACGCGATCTAGAACATTTCCCGTCGAGGTTCTCCAAAATGACGACAGAATCCTGCGCTGCTCCCAGAACCATGGAGCGCTTTATCTCTGCTCACAGCTCAAAAACGGGAGAAAACGGGAGAAAACGGGAGAAAGGGCGGATAAAAATTAAAAAAATAAATATTTCCACCGAAATGACGGCATTCCGCCTCGCGCTGTGGCCGCCACACCGAGCTCGCGCTCTCTCTCTCTCTCCCCGTTAGCCGCTCATGCTGCTCCTCTCCGCCGAACCGGATTCCGGGTGTGTGTGTGTGTGTCTGTGTGTGTGTGTGAGCTCGGCTCGGTGTCGGCGCTGCGCTTTCTGTGTCTCTCCGCTCAGAGAGCGCGCGCGGGCGGGCTGTGCATGTGCGCCGATAATCCGCCCCGAAATCACCGCCACGGCGATGACAGCAGCTCCTCCGCGCGCTCGGCGGCCCCGCGCTCGGACGGACGCGGCTCAGTCCGGTGAACGAGCGCGTTTTCGGCCGATTTTCGCTCGTTTTCTCGCTGAATCGTAGCTGAGCGGAGCGGCGCGCGGCTGATGGGTGGGGCAAACCGCTCTCATTGAAGCCTGTGTACGGGCAGCGGCGGGTCACGTGACCTCCGCAAAAACGTCAGCAGGCTGCGAATCTGCGGAGGAGAGGCGCCCTCTTTAAACTCGGCACAACACACAGACACACACACACACCACACACACACACACATACACACACACACACACCACACTCACACACACACACACAGACACACACACCACACACACACACACTCACACACACTACACACAAACACACACCACACACACACACACACACACACACACACACACACATTACACACACACATATATACACATCACACAAATACACATTACACACACTGAAAAACTCACCAATAAAAACAAAATCGTTTAAACTTTCAGTTCAGTGAAAATTGAGGATGTAATATCTTACAGTAAAAGTGTATAAAAGTGAAGTCAATGTTGAATTTGAGTTTTGAAACAGCATCTCGGCAAAACTTCAAAATTATTTACAGTATTTAATACATTCAGATCATTTATACAGAACTGAGTTTTGAAGGTGTTTCTACTTTTTCTCTCATTTTATAAATTATGATTTGCTGATTGGTGACTGAACAGTTTATTGATCTGTGTTTTGGACACTGATAAAGTAATATACTTATGCATTTTAAACTTTATTTGAAAAACGAAAATGTAATATTACATTGTTAACTGTATTCAGTGTGTACATAAGAAAGTGCAGAAGGTTACTGTTCAGTAAAGTGAGGATGTGCATGTAACTAGATATTTTAATATTTTATACTGAACTGAAACGGAAATATTGATCTCTAATCTGTGGGAAGATCAGAAATTAAACATCATCACTGAGAGCAGCTCACCGTCTTCAGCTTACAGCACTGTACGAAAGTCAGAGACCCCCTTCATTTATTTAATTTCCAATCAAAACAGTCATTAGGTAGAAATGTTTCAGGAGATGTTTGTGAGGAGATTAGATATCAGATAATCTACTTGCATTACGAAGGAGAAAGTCAAAGTGAAAAAACTGATTAAAGCTGCGGAGGAAACAAGACTCCTAACAACCACCCGGAAGACCTGCAGACGGTCAGCTATGTGGCTTCCTGTGAAAGTTAATGGACTTTCTACAGTAAAGTTGTGCTTACAATCACAAAATGAGATGTTCATTTTCAGGCGATATTTGTGAGATCAGATATAAAATAACTTGCTTAAGGAAATAGAAAGTCACAGGAAAATAAGGGAAAAGAGTTTCCAAACCTGGAGCTCAAAACAATCATTAAAGTCTACAGAGAAAATGTGGCTCCTAACAACCACCTGGAAGACCTGGCAGACCCTAAAACTGCCCCCATCAGATAAACAGCACTTAAAGCTTACATCTCTGAGAGAGAGGAGAAAATCAAGCTTCTTCAGATCTGAAAACATCCACAGGTGTTTCTGTCCATCCTTCCACTGTGAGAAGACGACTCAGCGCTGTGGGTCTGAAAGGATGTGTAGCTGATCGAGAAGAACCTCACTGAGAAAAGGAGACGGACACATCAAACAAAGAAGGGGTCTCTGACTTTCACACAGTGCTGTTTACAATGACTGCACACACACACACACACACACATACACACACACACACACACACACACACACAACAATATCAGGACAGCTGTAACGTGCAAAATATCAGTGGCAAAAACTCCAAACCCTTTCAAAATAAAAGTCCCTGTTAACGACTCCTGATCTGCATATGATGTTTTCTCAGATCAGATCCGAGCGTAGGGGTCCAACTGCACTGCAGTGTGTCAGTCTGCAGGCAGGGGGCAGCACTTTCTTTAAGGTGCGCGTGCTGGAAGTCACTCAGAGGGACAGTAGAGTCAGTGTTTCCTAAACTGAGTCTCTGAACCAGTTTAGCAGGATTGTGTAATCTCCAAATGACATTACATGATCTGAGGGAAACACGGCCGCTCTAAATTAGGATCACACAAACACGCCGGCTGACGTGAGGGGAAGTTTCAGTTTCTACCGCCGGCGATGTGAGAAAGTCAAACACACAGAGCAGATAAAACAGCTCAGACCTCAACAATCAGCACAGACGCCGCCTCGTATCTCCTGCAGCTCGGCTGAGATTCACAAAACACAGCAGAAAGTGAAGGACAGTTCATCTCCTCAGCAACGTGACACTGAAGCCCGGCTAACGCTTTGAGTCCTCGTCTTATATTTACATTTTACAATCTAGTTTAATAAATTCACTACACACACACGCAGGTTAATACGAGCTTTTAGAGTCAGAGTGTTAGTTATAGATTATAATGAAATACATGTTAATGTACAGGAGACCAACATCCTCCTGAATTCATTCTAATCCAACATGCTGACTCTGATGTTCAGAATTTGAGCTCCTGTAGATGCTCAGTGTGTATATCAGCTGTTTTACTGGAATTATAGTAAAAAACAACAGCAACTTAACATACTACACTACACTGTACTGCATCATTTATTATCCTGTACTATACTACCTATACTGTAGTATATTATAGAATACTGTATTATACTACACTATAGTGCATTTCACTATACTATACTGTACTATATTACACTATAGTATACTGTTTTATACTACAGTATACTGCACTATATTATACCATTACATACTACACTTTACTACACTATATATAGTGTACTGTACTATACTGTACTATATATACATACTGTACCATACAATGCCACACTATACTGTAATATATTATGTACTATACTGTATTACTATACTGTATTACTATAATATTTTGTATATTACTGTACTATGCTGCACTGTACTATACAGTACTGTACTATACTGTACTGCAACATTATACTACATTACACTGTACTACACTATAACACTGTACTGTACTGCACTGTGCTATACTATCTATACTACACTGATAGAAGCCCTGCTGATGGTGGTGTTCTGTTTAGATGTCCTGTTCTAGACACTTCGGTTTGGTGATTGACCTCTACTCACAGAGAAGATCCCAAAGCTGACTGACCTGAATGTCCAGATTTATTATTCCAACTGTTTAAACAAGCTGCACCTGAAACTTATTAAACCTGTTACTGATGATATTAAGCTCTCCAGAACAAAACGGTTTTACAAGCATCTGAATTTCTAGGAAAGTCAGTTACTCTGCTTTTTTCCATTGAGTCTATGTGCATAAGAAGCCTTCAGAGGCAGTGAAGGAGCAGCGACTACGAAGCTCAGCATCACACGGACGACAGACAACCAGAAACTTCAGGATTAAAGCTCCTGTTGAAAGTGTGTTCATTCTAACTTTTATGACTGATTAGATTAGTCCATCCCTCAGATAAGTCCCAGGAGCACTTCCACCTTTATCAACGCATCATAAAAACCATGATAACCTGCAGCTTGACCTCCATACAGGCCACAAACAGCTCCTACTCAGAACACACCATCAGGGCAAACTCACACCTCCAGCCTTCCAGCCACTGCAAGTTAAACCGATATGTTTTTGTGTTTTTCTCTTATTTTTCTTTAACTTTCTCCTTCATTATAAGAGCGGATTATCTGATATCCAATCCTCTCACAATGTAAAACTTGTATTTAACAGCAGTTTTCATAGGAAATTAAATACATGCTGACTTTGCTCAGTACTGTAATGTGGAGTAATTAATCAGCTCACACTCTGCTGCATCTCCGACTCGTTGCTCACCAGCAGCGTCCTGCTCTTACCATCACGGTCAAAATAACACAACTCCAATCAGAAACACAGAAAACAGTAAACAAACACAAACAAAGCCAACAATCCAGAGCCGCAGCGTCAGGACGAGAGTTTCCATTTCAGAACCACGGAAAAAGGAAGCGTTCCTCATTTCTACCTGCATGCAAAAGAAAATAGTGGACTGACTCCAATGAGGCCATCAAGGAGAGGCCTAACTGACCAGTGAGGTGGACAAACATCTATTAGATCAGACTAACATCCAGGAGTGAAATAAAGAGAGGAAGGAACCTCTAATCTCATCTGGACTTCCTTCAAGACTCAATCTGGAAGAGAGAAGCTCAAATCACAGCTACTCCAGAAATCTGACCACGCTGACCACATTAACTATATTAACTACACTGACCAAACTGACCACACTGACTATTCTGACCATACTGACTATACTGATTATATTAACTATACTGATCACAATGATCATACTGACTATACTGACCACACTGACTGTACTAACTATACTGATCACACTGATCATACTGACTATACTGACCACACTGACTATTCTGACCATACTGACTGTACTAGCTATACTGACCACACTAACTGTACTAACTATACTGACCACACTGATCATACTGACTATACTGACCACTCGGACTATTCTGACCACACTGATCATACTGATCATACCGACTATACTGACCACCTTGACTATTCTGACCACACTGATCATACTGACTATTCTGACCATACTGACTGTACTAGCTATACTGACCACACTAACTGTACTAACTATACTGACCACACTGATCATACTGACTATACTGACCACTCTGACTATTCTGACCACACTGATCACACTGATCATACTGACTATTCTGACCATACTGACTATTCTGACCACACTGATCATACTGACTTTTCTGACCATACTGACTGTACTAGTTATACTGACCACACTAACTGCACTAACTATATTGACCACACTGATCATACTGACTTTACTGACCACACTGAATATTCTGACCATACTGACTGTACTAGCTATACTGACCTCAATAACTGTACTCACAATACTGACCACACTGATCATACTGACTATA